GTCCCATTGAGTATTGAGAGACACATGAATAGATGTGTCCCATTGAGTATTGAGAGACACATGAATAGATGTGTCCCATTGAGAGACACATGAATAGATGTGTCCCATTGAGAGACACATGAATAGATGTGTCCCATTGAGTATTGAGAGACACATGAATAGATGTGTCCCTTTGAGAGACACATGAATAGATGTGTCCCATTGAGTATTGAGAGACACATGAATAGATGTGTCCCATTGAGTATTGAGAGACACATGAATAGATGTGTCCAATTGAGAGACACATGAATAGATGTGTCCCATTGAGAGACACATGAATAGATGTGTCCCATTGAGTATTGAGAGACACATGAATAGATGTGTCCCATTGAGAGACACATGAATAGTTGTGTCCCATTGAGTATTGAGAGACACATGAATAGATGTGTCCCATTGAGAGACACATGAATAGATGTGTCCCATTGAGAGACACATGAATAGATGTGTCCCATTGAGTATTGAGAGACACATGAATAGATGTGTCCCATTGAGAGACACATGAATAGATGTGTCCCATTGAGTATTGAGAGACACATGAATAGATGTGTCCCTTTGAGAGACACATGAATAGATGTGTCCCATTGAGTATTGAGAGACACATGAATAGATGTGTCCCATTGAGTATTGAGAGACACATGAATAGATGTGTCCCATTGAGAGACACATGAATAGATGTGTCCCATTGAGTATTGAGAGACACATGAATAGATGTGTCCCATTGAGTATTGAGAGACACATGAATAGATGTGTCCCATTGAGTATTGAGAGACACATGAATAGATGTGTCCCATTGAGAGACACATGAATAGATGTGTCCCATTGAGTATTGAGAGACACGCTCATGACTACAGTACATACCAGCTGGTGCCATATTCACTACGTCAATTGTCTTAAGTATTTTCTTTTTTTAATGCCTACACATTAACAGCGGGAGCCTTACGTAGGTCGGCAACATATGAAAGAAAAATAAAACTGTTAAAGTGATGTATTAGAGCTAGAATGTTGTTTCAAGGTTCTAGTTATATTTCTAGTTTAACATTTTATGAATGAAGTTAACATTCTAGCTTACCAATACATCGCAAGCTTAGTCGTATCTAGCGGCTGCCTGAGAGATTAGTCCGTTCCACTCATTTTTAGCGCAATTTCCATTCTGGAGAATTGCGTTTATTAACCCGTCATTTCTGGATGGATGAATGGTTGGATGAACGAATGAATGTGTGTCCGCAGCTTTAAGTTGTATCTCCTCCTCAACGAAGCAATATCGAGGACTAGTTTCAAAAGCAATTATGTAAAGCAAGTTAAGAGGATGAACATAGGCCATAAAAATTCCGGGTTTCTTTCGTGGATTTCCCGGAAAAACCAAAAAAACTCGAAAAAAAATGCAGTTTTTGGCCCATATCTCGGCAACCAGACCACTTAGCGACTTGAAACATGTACCAATCGATTCCTGCCATAATTTAGAACAATATTGCCGAAGAAAGTTTTCAAAAATATCCTTTCGTTCGGTCACAAACATTTTTTTGAATTAATTAAAATTTGGACCGAATTAGTAGGCATTTTTATCCAACCACACCACACGCGTCATCACGTTCAATAGCTGCGCCATCACGTTCAATGGCTGTGACATCACGTTCGGTAGCTAGGCGTGCAATGGTTTTTAGTCATGTTACTCTATTGTAAATAAAACATGTAAAATACTGAAAAAAATAAAATAAACCGGGAGTGATCTCCCCTAAACTTTCTCGAATATTCTTATATAAAACAACAGGGGATGGGAACTCGGGCTATAGACATGAATATTAATCCATTTTAAATACTTAAAGTTTTAAAAATAGAATAAAATCTCGTAGACACATTTATTGCACACCAAGTGAACGCCAAATAAAAAAGTGCATAATAGTGCGCAATATTATTAGTACTTTAAAAATTTACATTAGTTTTTTGAGAAATCGGAAGTAGCATAAATTACTACTTCCGGTCAACGGAAATTACTCAAACTTTAACAGAAGGTAGAGAATTAGATCTGTTACTTACATGTGAAATTTCATTTATCTATCTGAAATAGAACTCAAGTTATAGGCTTTTGAAAAATTCAAAGTAGGAAAAGTACCACTTCCGCTTATCGGAAATCGCTCAAAAGTTGATACGGATCTACGATTTTGATAAAATACTTATATATGAAATTTCATCAACCTAGCTGTAACGGTACTCAAGTTATCGTGTTTACACACGGACACACACACACACACACAGACATACGGACAAGATTGCAAAATTATGTTTTTCCGTATCAGTGAGGTGTAAAACGTCGAGATTTGTAAAAATCTCGATTTTTTTTTTGCACGATTACAAGACTTTCTCTATACTTCGTATATACGAGAAAGTAAAAATTAATAAAAAAACGTTTTAATAACTAACCAATGGTTTTACTAACCCTGCTCTTGATTTACGCTACGACAGAGCTATTTTTAGATAACATAAGGAAGTTGCGCATAAATGTCACTAGACTTTTTAATTAACTTGTTTTTTTTTAAATGTGAGGAAAACGTTTGTCAAAATATTTTTTAGTTGTTAGAGATCATTTTAACTTTCTCGTATACGGAGAATAGAGAAAGATGTTTAGTTGGTATACAATCAATTAATTTATGATCAGTTGATTCGAAAGATGTTTAGTTGGTATAAAATCAATGCATTCAGTTTTTTTTGAAGCCATAATCTGGACATAAATAGAATGTAAACCACAAGACACTTAAAAACCTTAGTTTTATTTTTATGATCTATGTAAAGCAAACTACAAAGTCAGAAGTTATAAGTTGGTCCTTTTGTTGAAGAAAAACAATAATCTATAGACTAATAAAAGTGAATCCGAGGTTTATATTTGAATACTTTTTTATTTGTGTGTTAGAGGAGATCAGTAGATCTATAATGTGTGTTGAATTTTGAAATAACTTCTTATGTTGAAAACAATATTGTGTTTAAAATGAACATACGATCGAAAAGTTTTTTAAAAAATGTGATTAAATTCAGAGAAATGTTCTAATTTAGAAACACACCTTTAATTATATAGAGCTACACGTTGAGAACAAATACTCTATTTTGACAATTTGGCTTCCGTTGAAAATTAGACCATCTTACCCATTAAAAGTTTAACGCGTTAAAAAGCTAATTTTCTGTCGGCTATAGCTTTATTTTTGTTAGGTTCCAACACTGTAATTATCATTTTTTCAATAGGATATGCTCTTGACAGATTTTCTAAGTATAGAATATAATGATTTTATTTCGGAGAAACCAGTTTAGAACTAAGGTTCCTTAATAACTTAGCTTTGTCGAAGAAAAATAAGGAAATAAAAATTATTTTAATTAATCAAAAACAAGTAGGCCTACAATGAACACTTGATTTTTCTTTTACATAACTATTTCAGGTCTTATATATTTCCTACAAATCTGTATTTTTTAGCAATGGAGTAAAGTAAATTAAGATATATTTTAATTAAGAACAATACTTTATGGTTAACAGAGTATATCAAATATTACAAACAGTGCCTGCACAGAAAGAGCACATTGAAATGAAAACGCACGCCAATGGTTCTATTTCTTTTTTTTTTGTCATTTGCTTTAATAATTTATTCATTTGTTATTCATATGAGGTTCGAGCTAAAATAAAGTATCATAGAAAGAAATCGATGTTTTAAAAAGACAAAAACATGTTGGATGAGGTGTGGCGTCTTTTTAGATGTTGGATCTGGCTTTTTGTGACGACGTGTGACAGTGGGGAGAGAGAGAGAATAAAAATCGTCAAACAAGCATTACGACATTAACTAAAGACACCTAAACTAAGCTATCCAAAGGAATAAGTATGGTCTAGTCGATATTAAGACGTTTCATTCAGCGATAAAACGATGTTGTGTTAAAGTAAAGCGTAACTCGTTCTAGGTTTAGAGCAAATAGATTCGTTTTAGTCACACACGTCCAAGACTTTCAAGACTAAATTGACTTCAACAATACAATATTAAACGCCATAAAAAAAACAGAGGTCGTTCAATGGAGACGTTTAAAATAACATTTATCTATTGCTAATAGAAATCAGTTTTATGATAGAAGCAGCTGGCTCCTACAACCTAGCTGTATTGATTGAAGAGTCTCTGTGTATAGGCCCAAGTGTCACTGTGTTGTGTGATACTGTGGTGTGACACATTGGTGTGTGACACTGTGGTGTGTGACAAGGTGGTGTGACACTGGTGTGACACATTGGTGTGTGACACTGTGGTGTGTGACACTGTGATGTGTGACACTGTGGTGTGTGACACTGTGATGTGTGACACATTGGTGTGTGACACTGTGGTGTGTGACACAGTGGTGTGTGACACTGTGGTGTGTGACACAGTGGTGTGTGACACTGTGGTGTGTGACAAGGTGGTGTGACACTGGTGTGACACATTGATGTGTGACACAGTAGTGTGTGACACATTGGGTGTGTGACACTGTTCATTAGCTATAGCATTATTTGAAAAATATTAAATAAATAGTCTGTAAGACATACAAAATGTATTTTTAAATTCAAATAATTTTATCATTTTGTTAAAAGAAAAACAGTTTGAAAATATTAAATTTTTTTTATTTTAAAGTGAAAGGTTGGCTTTAAAAAAAGTATAATATAAACATTTTTCTTTTCTATTTTTAGATCCAACAAACATTGGTTTGGCTGTAGGACTTGCTTTAGGATTGACTGCTCTTGTTGTCACTCTCATTGTACTGTATGTCTTTTTAAAAAAGTAAGTAGGTCTTCAACTGATTGTGCTGTATGTCGTTTTAAAAAAAGTAAGTAGGCCTTCAACTGATTGTGCTGTCTGTCTTTTTAAAAAAGTAAGTAGGTCTTCAACTGATTGCCTTGAATCCAAATATTCAAAGCTCTAGTGTATCTCTGTTGCTTAATTAAAAACCTTGACACATTTTAAAACATGTCAGCTGACGTGGGCTGAATTGGGCTGTGATGCTCCGGTACAATCCCTGTTTTGTAATGGATTCAGAATTTTATGTTAGATGGTGCCAGACTATTTAAAGCTGAGATTCATGACTTTTAACTTGCTTAATTATTATGGCCAATGGTGTAGGCTTACAACTTCAAATAACTATCACGGTTCCACAATGCTTAAAACAAAAAGCTAAAATGTTATTTACCATAACAATTTAAAAATATCTTTCACAAAAGGACCTCAGCAGAGTGTGACAATTAGAATGTTTAGAACCTCAATCCCAGATCAACACTTACAATTGGTAAACATTCATGCTTCTCTCAGCTCTGTCTTGCCCACCATCTTTCTTGGGTCGTCTTTGTTTAATAAACGACCAGATGGTAACACCAAGAATGACACACAAAACAAACACTGAGAGACCAACACTTAACCCAATAATCAGGTTCTTGTCATCTGGATAGGAGAACAATGTCAAGATGATCTCTTTTATTAGCATATATATGTATGTATATATATATATATATATATATATATATATATATATATATATATATATATATATATATATATATATATATATATATATATATATATATATATATATATATATTCAAGCTATTGCAAGATTTCCTCCACTTCTTCACCTACATAATATGTGGGATGTAATATTTACGTAAATTTTTCTTTAAAGAAGCTGTGTTTTTTTTAATTCAGGTTACAAGTTTAGCAAGTAAAAATAAAGTTATCATGAAACTGGCTCCCGGTCAAAAACCCCCTGGACATAAACCCCCTGGACATAAACCCCCCGACATAAACCCCCTGGACAAAAACCCCCTGCGACATAAACCCCCTGGACAAAAACCCCCCACGATATAAACCCCCTGGACAAAAAACCCCCGCGATATAAACCCCCTGGACAAAAACCTCCCAATTGAGGTTTATATAAGGAAAAACCAAAGATGACGAGAAACAAAATTAATATAAAAATACAAAACAAACATTAGGAAAAAACTTTTATTTTTATTATAACTTTAAAAAGACAGATTGTGAGCGATGCCTCGCAAATACTCAATAATGGTGGACTCATTAAAATTTTTAACAACAGTTAAAATTCGAGAGCTGCTATCAATATATGTTTTTTTCTGTTTTGGTAAACAGTGACCTGAATTAATCTGTGTACAATAAACCTCTTGGAGAGATTGTTCCTTTTTAATAAAGTCAATAAATTTCCAAATATTTGGGTGGCAACATCCCATATGCGACTGAAAACTTCTGTGCCAGCCTTCAACTGAGTTGTTTGTTTTTGGCATATGGTCTTCTGCACGTGTGTGCATGTTCCAAATGTCAAGTGGAAACATAGGTTGTCTTCGACCTCGACGTTGTGGTCTGCCAATATAGTAGTCCTCAAAGTAGTCTGCAATCGGCATTGCTTCTTGGGGGAATCGAACAGAAGAAATTGTGGTCCATCTTGTGTCATTGTATATTGTTCAGGAATGATTATATCATCAACATTCCTTGGATCAGACAGTGGGTGTTTTAGCGTTTGACGTTGACGCCTGATGTTACGCCGTATGTGTGGAATCGAGGACAGCTTGGCCTTGGCATCTTCAGTAATCGTAGTAATGGACTGAGTGATGATCTGCTGGGGTGTTGCTTCCGTTTCTTCTGCCAGTTGTTTCATCTGCTGCACTACTTTACACACTTCCAGTTGAGATGGATCTGGTCCATGCGAATGTTCATTACAATTACATCGTCCAACAAGCTGTTCACCATTAATCTTTATTTTTGCTTTGCATTCTGCCTTGTTGCGTCTTTTGGAACACTCAAATGACACAACGCCGTTCGCCAGATCTTTTTGCTTGACATAAACATAGCCTTCAAAAATCACCTTTAAATTTCCTTTATTGGATTGAACAAACTCTATTCCAGAAAATATACGATTTGTCGAGAAATAAATTTGATTTTATATTTATACCATGGTTCTGTATGCCAAGGTGGATATGAACCAAGCTTCCGCCGGTGAATCCCTCACATCTTTTGAATTGTTAAGAATGTGTTGCTTTGATCCGCACGGCTCCCACATGTGGATGACCTATATCTAAAGTGTTGTCGGTGCCCGATCTTTGATCAAATACAACTAAGGTCACTCCTTGATTTCGATTTTTTTTAGGTAGAAACTATTTATTTTCTTAGTCGTAAAAAATTAAATTAATTTAATGTAATTTTTTTTTTAATTTCTTGGTTCACATCATCGTTATTTTTTCTTTATATAAACCTCAGACCGGGGGTTATTATCCGGGGGGTTTATATCGCGGGGGGGTATTTGTCCAGGGGTTTTATGTCGCGGGGGGGTTTTGTCCAGGGGGTTTATGTCGCGGGGGGGGGTTTGTCCAGGGGGTTTATGTCGGGGGGTTTATGTCCAGGGGGTTTTTGTCCAGGGGTTTTTTGACCGGACACCCATGAAACTGTAATGAAATAAAATTCAATACCTTTGCTATTAGCCTCAACACTGAAATGCAATAAATAAAATGTATTAGTCTCTACTGGTTATATTCTTAAACTGAGTGAAAATGTTTGAATGACAAGATTCATATCTCAGGCTCCTCAAAAGTAAAGTACTAAATTTACATTGTAATTGTTTCAATTGTTTTTAAATCATGTAAAACCATTATAGGAAGTAATGTCTCTCAACCTTTTAGTTTAGGCCTTCTTATTATTTTAAAAATATTTGAATGATAGAATTTTAAAATCTGTACTGATGATATGGGACAAAATAACGTGCAAGTAAAGAACTTACGTTTGTTGGTCAGGTGACTGTCAGACCTATTGATCATGTGACTGTATATTTCATTGGTTAGAATAAAACTTACATGCACACATTTTGATCCATGCACTGCTCACTATCTCTACAAGGCTGAAGTTTTCTTTTGATTTCACAAAGGTTATCATTGTGATGAACTTTCAAGGTAGAAAAGACAAATTAATTCGTTAAATGTGTTCAATATTGTTAACTTTTTAAAAATTAACTAACAACAAATATTTGATAAACAAGATTATTTATCAATAAAGTAAAAGAAATCCAAATTTTTAGAATATGTGTTCTTTAAAAACAAAAAACTTAGGACTATAACTAACCCTGACCTTGAATTATTCAGTGCAGATCTGACCTTGAATTATTCAGTGCAGATCTGACCTTGAATTATTCAGTGCAGATCTGACCTTGAATTATTCAGTGCAGATCTGACCTTGAATTATTCAGTTCAGATCTGACCTTGAATTATTCAGTGCAGGTCTGACCTTGAATTATTCAGTGCAGCTCTGACCTTGATTATTCAGTGGAGCTCTGACCTTGAATTATTCAGTGCAGCTCTGACCTTGAATTATCCAGTGCAGGTCTGACCTTGAATTATTCAGTCAGATCTGACTGATGTGGAGAAGGAGAGTCACTGAATGACTCACCAGTGGCCACTCATTTCACTCAGATCACGGCGACAGATAAACCAACAGCAGACGTCAAGACAAATAACTCACCTAGACACGTGACCTGGCACCTGTACCGTGACGGCTAGAACTGCTCACCTGAAGCTAGTCCCCAAGTCCCAAGATTCATTGTCCTACTTCATTCAACTTTAATGATGTGGGGTGAAGTGTGGCGAAGACATACACTACTTCATTCAACTTTAATGATGTGGGGTGAAGTGTGGCGAAGACATACACATGTTGTACACAGAAATTCTTTTGTTGATGTATATGTTTGTTAAAGCAAAAAGTAAACGAACCACGGTGTTGTTAGACGAGGTTGTTGGTCTACTCCCCTAGATCAAACTCTAAAAAGTATCTTCTATTATATTAATTATACAAAGATATATCAACTATGAGCTTAGCATATTCAAACGGCCGGACACTCACAGAAAACGGGCTGATTACGTCACTAACAATCACCAACAATCACCAACAATCACCAACAATCACCAACAATCACCAACAATCACCAACAATCACCAACAATCACCAACAATCACCAAGAATCACCAAGAATCACCAACAATCACCAACAATCACCAACAATCACCAACAATCACAAAGAATCACCAACAATCACCAACAATCACCAACAATCACCAACAATCATCAACAATCACCAACAATCACCAACAATCACCAACAATCACCAACAATCACCAACAATCACAATCACCAACAATCACCAACAATCACCAACGTAAGCCACCGAGAGCCGGATCAAACGAGAGACCTAAGTTCGAAACAAACTTTGATTAAACTCGGTTACATCACATCTTCAAGCCTCTTGTTTTATGCTTTTGTTGTGTTCAACAATGTAAATTAGCTTTGTTGGATGTCATACATTTTTAACCAGGCTACATTAATCACCGTCTCACGTGACACAGCTGTCCAATCATATTCGAGCTTTTGTCGATTGTTATGCTAATTCTATTCACATTTTAACCTGCGATTTTGAACTGCATCATTATGTTGTGAACCTCAAATGTCAGACCGGTTCAAAAAAAATTTGAGCTGTTTAAATTGTTTAGCTTGCCGCTAGTTGAATACTTTTTAATTTTCTTTTAATTTGGCGTGCTTGATTAGCCTTTGAAGATTCCAGGTTAATATTTTTTATACCATCAACCGCTAGCTTGCTACTATAGTGGGATCTAAAATAGTTTCTACGCCCCTAGATGTTAAGGCGGCCAGTGATTTTTATAGAGTTTAAAAAAAAGATGCTTCAAATAATTGTTTCTCTTCTACATTTTCTGTTCGTCTGTTCAGGTAAGTCTACTTGGTGAGTAAAAAAGTTAAATACATACTTTAAAATATTTCAATTTGTTAAAGAATGCGACGGCGTGGTCGGATGGTAAATATAGTGACGTGTTCGAATCCAGGGTAGGTGTCAGTAGAACGTAACTCAGTCAGCACACACGGCTACCCTACCCGATCACACACGGCTACCCGACTCGGGCCACACGGCTACCCGACCCAGGCCACACGGCTACCCGTCGCAGGCCACACGGCTACCCGACTCGGGCAACACGGCTACCCGACCCCACACGGCTACCCGACCCCACACGGCTACCCGACCCCACACGGCTACCCGACCCCACATGGCTACCCGACACAGCCCACACGGCTACCCGACCCCACACGGCTACCCGACCCCACACGGCTACCCGACGCAGGCCACACGGCTACCCGACCCAGGCCACACGGCTACCCGACCCCACACGGCTACCCGACCCCACACGGCTACCCGACCCCACACGGCTACCCGACTCGGGCCACACGGCTACCCGACAAGGCCACACGGCTACCCGACCCCACACGGCTACCCGACCCCACACGGCTACCCGACCCCACACGGCTACCCGACCCCACATGGCTACCCGACACAGCCCACACGGCTACCCGACCCCACACGGCTACCCGACCCCACACGGCTACCCGACGCAGGCCACACGGCTACCCGACCCAGGCCACACGGCTACCCGACCCCACACGGCTACCCGACCCCACACGGCTACCCGACCCCACACGGCTACCCGACTCGGGCCACACGGCTACCCGACAAGGCCACACGGCTACCCGACCCAGGCCACACGGCTACCCGACCCCACACGGCTACCCGACCCCACACGGCTACCCGACCCTACACGGCTACCCGACCCAGGCCACACGGCTACCCGACCCAGGCCACACGGCTACCCGGCCCCACACGGCTACCCGACCCAGGCCACACGGCTACCCGACCCAGGCCACACGACTACCCGACCCGACCCCACACGGCTACCCGACCCAGGCCACACGGCTACCCGACCCCACACGGCTACCCGACCCCACACGGCTACCCGACCCAGGCCACACGGCTACCCGACCCAGGCCACACGACTACCCGACCCGACCCCACACGGCTACCCGACCCAGGCCACACGGCTACCCGACCCCACACGGCTACCCGACCCCACACGGCTACCCGACCCAGGCCACACGGCTACCCGACCCAGGCCACACGGCTACACGACCCAGGCCACACGGCTACCCGACCCAGGCCACACGGCTACCCGACCCTACACGGCTACCCGACCCAGGCCACACGGCTACCCGACCCAGGCCACACGGCTACCCGACCCCACACGGCTACCCGACCCCACACGGCTACCCGACCCCACACGGCTACCCGACCCAGGCCACACGGCTACCCGACCCAGGCCACACGGCTACCCGACCCAGGCCACACGGCTACCCGACCCAGGCCACACGGCTACCAGACCCAGGCCACACGGCTACCCGACCCCACACGGCTACCCGACCCCACACGGCTACCCGACCCAGGCCACACGGCTACCCGACCCCACACGGCTACCCGACCCAGGCCACACGGCTACCCGACCCAGGCCACACGGCTACCCGACCCCACACGGCTACCCGACCCAGGCCACACGGCTACCCGACCCAGGCCACACGGCTACCCGACCCAGGCCACACGGCTACCCGACCCAGGCCACACGGCTACCCGACCCAGGCCACACGGCTACCCGACCCAGGCCACACGGCTACCCGACCCAGGCCACACGGCTGCCCGACCCAGGCCACACGGCTACCCGACCCCACACGGCTACCCGACCCCACACGGCTACCCGACCCAGGCCACACGGCTACCCGACCCCACACGGCTACCCGACCCAGGCCACACGGCTACCCGACCCAGGCCACACGGCTACCCGACCCCACACGGCTACCCGACCCAGGCCACACGGCTACCCGACCCAGGCCACACGGCTACCCGACCCAGGCCACACGGCTACCCGACCCAGGCCACACGGCTACCCGACCCAGGCCACACGGCTACCCGACCCAGGCCACACGGCTACCCGACCCAGGCCACACGGCTGCCCGACCCAGGCCACACGGCTACCCGACCCCACACGGCTACCCGACCCAGGCCACACGGCTACCCGACCCAGGCCACACGGCTACCCGGCCCCACACGGCTACCCGACCCAGGCCACACGGCTACACGACCCCACACGGCTACCCGACCCAGGCCACACGGCTACACGACCCCACACGGCTACCCGACACAGGCCACACGGCTACACGACCCCACACGGCTACCCGACCCCACACGGCTAGCCCGACCCAGGCCACACGGCTACCCGGCCCCACACGGCTACCCGACCCCACACGGCTACCCGACCCAGGCCACACGGCTACCCGACCCCACACGGCTACCCGACCCAGGCCACACGGCCACACGGCTACACGACCCCACACGGCTACCCGACCCCACACGGCTACCCGACCCAGGCCACACGGCTACCCGACCCCACACGGCTACCCGACCCAGGCCACACGGCTACACGACCCCACACGGCTACCCGACCCCACACGGCTACCCGACCCCACACGGCTACCCGACCCAGGCCACACGGCTACCCGACCCAGGCCTACGGCTACCCGACCCAGGCCACACTGCTACACGACCCCACACGGCTACCCGACCCCACACGGCTACCCGACCCAGGCCACACGGCAACCCGAACCCACACGGCTACCCGACCCCACACGGCTACCCGACCCAGGCCACACGGCTACCCGACCCCACACGGCTACCCGACCCAGGCCACACGGCTACCCGACCCAGGCCACACGGCTACCCGACCCCACACGGCTACCCGACCCAGGCCACACGGCTACCCGACCCAGGCCACACGACTACCCGACCCGACCCCACACGGCTACCCGACCCAGGCCACACGGCTACCCGACCCCACACGGCTACCCGACCCAGGCCACACGGCTATCCGAACCCACACGGCTACCCGACCCCACACGGCTACCCGACCAAGGCCACACGGCTACCCGACCCAGGCCACACGGCTACCCGACCCAGGCCACACGGCTACCCGACCCAGGCCACACGGCTACCCGACCCAGGCCACACGGCTACCCGACCCAGGCCACACGGCTACCCGACCCAGGCCACACGGCTACCCGACCCAGGCCACACGGCTACCCGACCCCACACGGCTACCCGACCCCACACGGCTACCCGACCCCACACGGCTACCCGACCCAGGCCACACGGCTACACGACCCCACACGGCTACCCGACCCCACACGGCTACCCGACCCCACACGGCTACCCGACCCAGGCCACACGGCTACCCGACCCAGGCCTACGGCTACCCGACCCAGGCCACACTGCTACACGACCCCACACGGCTACCCGACCCCACACGGCTACCCGACCCAGGCCACACGGCTAACCGACCCCACACGGCTACCCGACCCAGGCCTACGGCTACCCGACCCAGGCCACACTGCTACACGACCCCACACGGCTACCCGACCCCACACGGCTACCCGACCCAGGCCACACTGCTACACGACCCCACACGGCTACCCGACCCCACACGGCTACCCGACCCAGGCCACACGGCTACCCGACCCAGGCCACACGGCTACCCGACCCAGGCCACACGGCTACCCGAATTCACACGGCTACCCGACCCAGGCCACACGGCTACCCGACCCCACACGGCTACCCGACCCAGGCCACACGGCTACCCGACCCAGGCCACACGGCTACCCGAC